TCCACTTCTATAGAAATGCAGGTCGCATCAGTTGAAACCAAAGTTCGCAAGCACAATCTTTTCGCGAATAGTTTTGCGCGCACCCTCTTGGCCTCTGCCACGCCCACTATATACACACAGCCCCGAGAGAGCGCGCGCGCGCGAAAAATTGCCGTTTTGCAGTTGCGAGTAGGCAGGTATAATGGCACATCGCTGGGCGTACACGCACCGGTTGGAAATAATAAAATAATGGAGGCTCGGAGTGTTTTTGTCCTCCGTGTATATGTGGACATACGCGTGTAAAACACACACGCGTCACGGTGCCGAATAAAAATGTGCGCACAAAGAGATGTGCTTGTGTACATTATACAAACGAAAAGAGGCGACAAAAAGAGCCGCGCGCCGAGGAGGAGAGCAGCATCCAATAACCCAAACACACCGGCTCCGCGCCCATTGTTTAAAAAATCTGCTGCGCCCATTTTTGCCCCTCTTCGTATATAATATACAGATGTGCGGTAGGCAGTGCTCTCATCGTATTTTATCGTTGTTTTCGTAGCCGGCTAATAAACGGGCCTCGTTGCTCGCATTGTTCTTTTTTCCCTTTCTTTCATTCCGCTCACAGATGGGGCAGGTCTGGCTTCTTAAATCCGCTCCGTACACGAGTGCGCGGTCCTACGTGGTGCGTCGCACGCCTCATTGCCCAAATTCCCGCTGGCTGTGTTGTTGCAGTTGTCGTGGGCCTTTTTTTTTTTTTCTTCCCCCCGACGCACTGGAACCTCGATTGTTCCGCGCGTGAGAGTAAATGCGTGTGTGGTTACGATCCGAGGAGGGATTTTCGGCTGCCAAAGTATATAGAGGTGGGGACGTGTATGCGAGTTTCAAGTGCGGATAAGCCCGTGGAACTCGTTCAGTGTACGGAGGAAGCGAGGCGACCCGTATATAGGTGGAGCCTATGATGGGGGCTGACCAATGCTGCGTGATCAAGAATTTCTTCCTTACTGGGTTCTAAAATAAAGTTATTTGTTTATTTATTTTTTGTTTTTTTTTGTTTTTAACAGCAATTTGTTTGTTGGATTCAGAGTACCTAAATGCTCATTTCGTTGAATCTCGGTTCAAGGTCTGCATGAGTTACGATTTAGCGAATAAATTTAAATAGATGTACATTTATTGTTCCATCATGATTTACTAACGATTTCAATGACTGTACTCCAAAGAAAAGTTTCTTAGTACATAAATGTGTCTGGAAATAAAAATGTCACAAAAAACTTACTGATTTCAATATAAATTGGAAACTATATGTATTAAAATATTTGTATTACTATTCGATTTGGAAAATGAATTCGTGACACTTTCAATGTGGATATGAGTACCTATAGATGCCAAACTGACTGATACGTATTTCATGGACATCACGAGATTTTTGATAAAATTTCACTAGATTTCACTGTCTCTTCGAGTGTCGCGAATAGTGGAAAGTAAAATAATGTTGCGGTCTCCGTTATCGGAATCTTAGGAGGCTACAAAGCCGTTTTCGTTTCAAAGCACCGTTAAATCGAAAAAAAGTCCATTTTCCCCAAAACAACCCAATTATTGAGTATAAGGACGTAACAATGGAGCGACAAGAGTTGCTTAAAAAAACCAAGCTCGATCAAACCAATGTATTTAGCCAGACTCTCGTCTTCTCCTAATAAAACGGTTCACAAGACGCGCCCCATCGACCAGCCTCGGTTATTCCTAAGGATTACCGTCAGAGGTCTATTACTCGTTCGTACGGTGCATTATTCAGTACTGTCTCTCGCTCACCGCACGCATCGTTTTTTTTTTTTTTTCTTCCTCCACGTTACCCATTACAATCAACTGTACATGTACCACACGCTCGTTTTGGGCCGTACACTGCGAAATTCTACGTACTCACCGCATTGTTTTGTTAGGGTATTTTGGTTGGGGATCGGGCCGCTCTTTTGTGTCCGAGAGGCAAAGAAGGCGATATGCCTTTTTTTTTTTTTTTCCAAAAGCCGCCTCGATTTTTCAGACGATTGGCGACGATGTTTTTTTAATCAAGCCTTTGGGCAAACAGAGAGTCGAGAGCGCAGACGTTTTCTCTCTTTTTTTTTGTCCGCCTCCTTTGTAGTGGTCATGAATTTAAGCGACTGTCGGGCCCAAGTTGCGAGGGGAGTACGGCCAATGTTGCTCTTTGCTGATAATCCTTGGAAAGTTTTTTCAATGTTGGTTGATTGTTGGAAAAAAGTAGATCGTAGCTTTACTCGGGTATATCATTGTTCGGTGCAGCACAGCAATGTTTTTGTATGAATATTATTTTCAAAGATGGACAACACGTGATGATTGGCGATTAAAATCACCAAATCAATTAAACAATCAGTTGGTGTTTTTTTCATGAGAACCCATGATGGTATAGAGATAAAATTATTGGGAATTAATGAAAATTAATACCCCTGATAATTAAACCAAATTGTTATTAAAAAAAGAACTGTCTACAAAATTATTTTTTACCTTTTTTTATAAAAACTTTTCCGTCACATGTCAGAACATTTCAAACGGGAATTAATGGAGCGCTTAAAAAGAGGTTGAAAAAAAAGGGGTAGAATATAATGAAACTAAGCGCCAAAAGAGACAATTGTCAGGCGTACAAAATCGCAAGTCTGGTATGCGAGTTGAAATTTATAAAAGTGTAACTAATATACAAACAACATACCTATAATTGAATTTTATCAGCATTGTTTCAATTTGTATTTTGTAGGTGGGTGATAAAAGCAAAAAACATTATTTAAAAAAAAAAAAAGACTAATAAACTAAGAAATAGTGGTGATGAGTTATTAAACTGTTAATTTGAAATTATATTCAAAGTTAATTGACGGATGGGCTAATTCTAATTCTTCCGTTATTAAAGTATCAATCGAGCAAGGTATCGAGGAAAACAAGGTGCACCAACACCCACGCAACCTCAAAGCGCGTAGTCCCGTGAAAATTAATTGCCCGAAATACTGGATAGCGAGCCAACTGCGAGCAGAAGGCGTCGAAGCGTGCATTCGTATACCCTCGCCTGTACGTCTACGTGGGAGTACGGGAGAAACAGGCGCGATCCTTCTGCGGCAAAGGAGGGAAACTCGCGCCTCTGAGCTTCCCGAATTCATACCCGAGAAAATCGGATATTAAGCCCGAGGCGCCTCGCTCGTTCCATTGCGCCTGTATCGCGTATATTTCATCGGTTATACCTCGTCTTTTGCTAATTATTTTGCGACTCTCTCTTTCCCCTTTCCCAGGACTTTTAAATGTTTAATTTTTCAACTTCGTACGATTCTTATTAAAATTCAATTCTAGATTTTATATTGGTTCAATGAGCAATTAAGCTGTTGGTTTTAAGTAATTCATATGTTTAATAATTCATCTCAATTTGAAACATTTTCCCATCAAAATTTTTATTTAACTCCTAATTAAAATATCAAATTAAGTTATAAATTATTTTTTTTTTTAATTACCAAGTATATTGGTAAGTAATTGATATTTCAACAATTATTTGTTAAAGTTTGTTTCAATTGATAATTTAATTTGGTTTTTTTATCAAAGCTCAAATTAACGAACCATTTAACTCAATTGTTGGTTCAAATGTAAATAAATTCAAAAAATTATCCTATTTTTTAACAAAAACTCATGAAATTATCAAATTTAATTATGTAGAATCTGTGTGATGAAAAAGTATTGCTACAATAATCCAAACTCAATTTTTGTAAGAAAAATTTTTATGCTTTTTCGATGTCGTACATATAGTAATGCACAAGCATTAATAATATTTGAAAACTCGCAATTTGTCAGTAATAAAATTATAAAAAAAATTTTAAATACGATTTATTCATTTTTTTTTTTCAATTTCAGTAAATGTAAAACTTAAAATATTAAAAATATAGCGTTTTGTTAAAATAAAAATATAAATGAAAAAAAAAAAAAATAATAATTAGCTGTATCAGGAATTGTACTAATAGTCCACAGGAGTTCAACGTATTGAGTCTCACCCCCATCCCCAACTGAATATTGATGTTTGAAGTAACTTCCCGCATTCCCGGCCAAAATGCACTTTTAGAGCAAAGCAAACAGTGACAATAGAACCACTCGATTGCAGCTTCATGTTTTAATACGCTAGACTGGAGTTTCGATGGACTTGGAAATTTGGGTGGAGGCGTTCACGCGCAAATGTTTGATTTTACCGAGTGGGTGATTTCGACAATCGAGTACTAACGTTGATGTTTGCTACTTCGCGTGGAAAATTATACACCTGCAAGTGTTTTATAAATATAAATTTTTCTAATTCACCGTAATATTTTTTCTAAAAATCAGTTGCAATCCTAAAGCTTGCATAATTACTCGATTAGTTAAATTAATTAGTGAAATTTTTGACAAAATCTTTGAAGGAAAAAAAAGTTGCTCAAATGTTTACGAGTTCAAAGGTATTAAGCTCACGAAATGTACAAGATTCACAAGAGGCTTGGTATTTATGTAAAAATGTCAGTTTCCTAAACTTTATCCACTATGTGGAAGTAGAAATGCTGTCGACATACCAAAAAATATTCATGTATACGACTAAATATTTTACAAGTTTATTGAGACACGTGCTATGCATTGCTTTATTATCAACATGAAAAACATGATTACATTCAGTATTGAACATGCCATTAGCCGCAAACCCCCACATAAATATCGTACGATAAATAAATGTAAAGAAATATTATATTTCCAGGATGACTTACATACATACAGACATCCTTAATTACTAAGATATTTTTTTGACGGCTAAAAGAACGAAACTTGTTTATACTTTTTTGTACTTTTTATCTGATTAGGATTGTATACGTAAAAAAGTTGTTCAGTCCAGTTCTGTTGTACTTGTTCCAAAAAAATCACGTAAAACTAAGATCTTATCTTTTCTCGTAATAACCCAATACCACAACATAAAAAACAAATTTTAATAACGATCATTTGCATTCCAACGCGTCTCCCATCTTTTTCAGACCACTTTCAAGGAATACCAGCAGCCGCCCTGCCGGCCTTTCTGCACAACTTACAAAACTCGACGGGCTACAACATAGCGAAACCAATAGCGAGACCTGCGGCGTATCACCCGCACCATCCGCCTCATCCGGGCCATCATCCGGCGCAGCATCACCTGCCACCCAACGCCCATCACACGTTGCATCAACTACTGGGTTGTCGGACACCTTATTTGACTGGTATGGTGCACTTTTTTTTTTTTTTTTTTTTTCACATCGCCAAACTATTACCTCAACTTTATATATTGTTGAAAATCGCGATTTTCCCAATAAACAGTTTCAAGAAGAATCATTTTTCAAAATCATCCGTTCGCATCCATGGATGGATGAATGATAATTTTCAAAATCTCAGTGACACGGCAGTAAAGCTCATAGGACTAATTATAATCGTCGTAACAATAACAACGATGTACTCGTGATTAATTAAATTGCGCATGCAGCCGAGTGATTGTACCTCTCGCGGTAATATCAAAATGAAGGACGGACCGTCTGCTCGAGACTTGACGGACATTTACTATTAATTTTGACGGGAGCAATACTCCCGCTGTATCGCCTCCTCGTGTACAATGACAATCACGGAATGAACAACTTTCCACTCGCAAAGAGGACAAAATTCGAATATTCTGCCGGTGTTCATGTTATACACACCTGTCACATGCGCGCTACTCCCAGGTGTTCGTGTTTTACGGTAATTTCCATATGAGCAGTTCAGTCCTTTGTACAAATTGTAATTGTTTATTATGAGCCATACCAGTAACTGGCTAAATGGTTGGTTTATCAGCTATGAAAAAAAAAAAAAAAAAAAAAAAAAAAAAAAAAAAAAAAAAAAATAAAAAAAGTATCCGTACCCAAGTGCTGTTGCATCAATACGTGCATCGGTAGCGATGGTGGGTAAGTACACGAGTGCATGCACAGATCGTTACGTACAGTATTGTCAATATGTATATGAAGCTCTTCTTTTTCCCTTCAATCGGTTGCACGTGCGAATTCAATTGACCGTTCATACAGAACACCGGGGAGGGGGGGGGGGCAAATAGATGCTCCCTCGGTATAGGGATGCGTTGCCAAAACGCCGGTATATATCTACGATGGGATTGTCCGATTGCCGCTCAACGTTTTGTTCCGCTAAACTGGAGTTCCAGCACAGAGGCGTTCACGCGCGCGCGAGTTTCATTCTACCGAGTTTGCCATTTCACGTTGATCGATGCGTTACGGGACACCAATAGCGGGACAAGCTACTTTTTTTACCCACACCGGGAGCGGACATTTCGACTCATCCCAGTGCTCTCGGTCATGCAACTGTATAAGACTTACTTTTTCACACATTGCACGTGTCACAGAAGTTGAACTTCAAATCTGTGTCACAAAACATTTCGATGAAACCTTTATGTTGTACACTTGGTCTATAATCATCATCCAATTCATTTCCTATTGTATGACAGTAGAAACGATCGTAATCACCGTTAGGTTGGCCGAAAAAAAACCGTACAACTTGTCAATACACCCTTAAAACACATGCACACACACACACACATGAGCCTCCAACGAGTTAAAAAAACCATCTAACCAGGATCGACAAATTTCTCCAAACAGTAGCGAATCCAGGAAACGGAAATCCACAGCTGGGCGGTCCAGGCACAGGGGGTGGCTTCCCAGGCGCGATACAGGGTAGCCTCGGGGAACTGGCGGGCATGAGCCTGGGCTTCCCGTGGGCCGGCAGCGCCAGGGGCAAGCCTCGCCGGGGCATGATGCGCCGCGCCGTGTTCTCCGACCAGCAGAGGCGCGGCCTCGAGAAGAGGTTCCAGGTGCAGAAGTACATCAGCAAACCCGATCGCAAGAAACTCGCCGAGAAGCTCGGGCTCAAGGATTCTCAGGTAATTCCTCTTTTCACGTACACAAATATACTCGTTCCTAATGTCGTTTGAATATGTAACATTTGCTTACGAATGCTTCGATTTTCGTGGTTTGTCGGCGCGTTCCAAGGATCTCCGAATCCGATGAACCGCCAAAACGAAATCCCACCCTACCGAGCCAACGAACGTCCATCAACCCATGTGACCCTCGAATGTACAAGAGACATTGCGAACGCGAGGGCAATAGAGAACGCGTGTGTGCGGGTGGTCATTCGATGGAACACACGTATGTACCGGTTATACGTTCAATATTCCCCACAACAGGTCTTACGGAGAACCGGCAGAACTGGCAGGGGGCGAATGGGTTAATCGGTATACAGTGCGGAGCGCGGGCGCCAGTTCATTAGTTGCACGCGGGCTGTCAAGCTATACACGCATATTGTAGTCGTCATCTACTCGTACGCAAGCAATTTACCCCCTTTCCTGGTATTACACGTGCATCCATGTGTATAACGCGTACACGTGGGATCCTCAAGCTTTTAGGATTTAGTTGCGCGAAGGTGGGATTCGATGTAGAATGAGCACAAGTCACGAAAACATCCCATATCCACTTGGACATTTATATGAAAATACATTTTTTAGGTACAAAAAGTTCATTGCGCGGATTTTATACGAAACGTGTTGTACGTTTTTCAAATTTGTTTTCTCTCATTAACATTAGAGATAAATACATATTTTATCGTTATTCTATGTGGCTAAAAGGAAAATGTACAAAAGATACCTCGGCTTCTGCGTCGATGTTCAAATCGTCAACGCTACTTTTGGAACATACATCCTACATGGGCAATTGTCAGTACGTGCATACAAATTAGTTTTGTCGGGGATGTCCAACTAGGCATAATGTTTTCGTGATTTCTATTCAGTTATATTGCAAGCCATCCACTGACCAGACTCCACTTCTCACATTCTGGGTTGTTTGCTGTGTAAGCGTTTAATGCCATTGCCGTATGTGATCCGAAGTCCAATAATCTTTCTGACTTTGATATTCGGGCAGTAACAGTGTATAATATTATCATACGATCTACTGCATTTTACATTATGGTAGGGGTTTTTTCGAAGTACAACTTCAATCTTAGTTCCTCAAAAAGGACTATATTACCAATATCGGTGTGTCATCACTATGTATACCTTTTATTCCAAACGAGTATATACTGTATACGTAAAGAAATAAAAATGTTGAGTAAAAATAAACAAAGTCCCTAAAAGTCACGACCAAGAAAACCCTTGGGTCAAAAGCCACGACTCCCCCGGCACTCCAAAGATTTTCCTTGAGGGGCTCACCGCGATCTCAATCGATCCACGGACCGCAATCCCTCCCGTTCACCGCGTCGCACCGGCTGGCGGATCGAGTGCATAAATTTCGACGACGCCCCGCACAGTATATAACACATACACCACGCGCGTATCCTTCGATTCCTCCCTGCCCTCTCGCTTCGGGCGGCCCCTCATGTATAATTCACACCTCGAGCGCCATCACGCCTCGGTCGCCATTGGTCCAAGCGCTCCCTTGGGGTAATATGGTTTTACGCGGTCGCGCCGCGTGGACTTTTTCCTTTGTATGGCCGAAGAGTTGGTTGGGTCCTCTTATTTTTTCAGCTGCTAAACCAAGAGCTTCCCTGGGATGATTCAACCGAACTATGCGACCTCGTTAACGTAACTCGGGGAATAAGTATATCTTTCCCCGCCCAGAGCAGTTTTACCGAGATTTTTTTTCAACCAACGAAAAAAGCATCGAGCCCAAATGGACGTGCAATAACATGGGAGATACTTTCTCGAGATGCTGTAGTAAGTATCGCGACGACACCTGCAACAGCAAAAAAAAAAAAAAAAATAAATAAAAAAATATACAGTCGTCAGAGTGGAAAAAAGCGAGTGGACCTCTAAGGCATGTATAGGTCGAAGATTGCACGACACGTATGCTTGTCCGTGCAGGAGTGGTTGACCACGCACGAGTGCCCATAAAAGTGATTACTGCCCGGCGATTCTCGACGCCTCGGCGTCAGCTGGCTCGGGATGTCAAATCTCGATTTTTCGGGAGCAAGAGGAGGAAGTCGGGCAAATCGCTCACTTAGCTCCGAAAGTTGTCTCCACCCCCTTCTTTTTTTCCCTCGTCTAATGTGTTTTCACATTTCGAAGTAATGTTATTCATCTTTTTTTGGGATTGATTGAATTTTGGCCCAGAGGTGGTTTCGGTGCGCCAAGACATTATCCATCCTTTTGAATCTCCCGATTGCGCGAGCAAATCTTTTGGGACCATTTTTCACGGTCCGCACGTGTAATTCTAGGCCACGTTTGTAAATAAATTAAAAAAAAAAAACCGTCGCTGGCGCTCGTCTCGTGAATTTTTCTTGGCCATCAACCAATTAAAGGGGATGAAAAGGAGATGCTGCGGATAGCTCGCCTAATTAGTGCACAATGGAAAGTCTGCCCGCATACTTACGCCTATCGCTCGTCAGTTCCGACTCTTGGCGACTTTTTGCACGTCTCTCGTTATCTCCTTTGACTTTTCTCATTATTTTAATTAATCTCTAATCACGAGGTTATCCCATGTTATCGAACAACGAGAGCAAGTTTGTCGTGCGGTTGACAATTTTTGTCCGATTTCGAAGTATGATTATTTGTTGATTCTAAATAAATATCCATAATTACATGGATCCGCTCATGGGTGCAATACATGCCTCCTGTACGTGCACGTGAGACTTCTTTACATGACTTTGATATCCTGTAAATATCATTAAGCAAAAAAAAAAAAATGTACAGTCAGGGCTCTCGACATGAAATCATAATTACATTTTTCCCAAAAGTGATTATAAATTGGTTTTAAAATCACGATGAGGCAAAAATAAATGGCTCAATTGACACTTTGGTTAATAAATTTGAATTTACTTTCTAGTGTTCTTCATTCAACATCACCATGAAAGTACATTTCAATTTAATTCAACTTACTGGTTTTACATAGTTCCGTTAACAAAGAAAATGTTTTCTTGATTTCGTAGTACCATATTCGTTGTAGGACACCAAAAATTGATTTATAATCCAAAGAAAAATGTGCAATAAGCTTGAATCGAAAGTCCCGTCCAATGCTGGATTTCTACAAAATTATAAAAAAAGATAGTAAGAGCGGATAACCCATCAAGTCCAATTTCCTGAGCAGCTTAAGCGCGGGATTAATTAAGTAAAAAAGCAAAGAGAGCGAAAAAGGGCCTCGAGCCCGTCCCTGTCGTTTCCACTTGCGTTTTGTCGACGGGACGAAAAGCCAATCCACGCCGTCGGTTCCGGTCGTTTGACGGGAGCAGCCCCCTCTTGTCAGGATCACGCTCGCGCCTCTTAATTCGTAGGTATACACTCGATGAGGGAGAAAAGGAGGCCGAAAAGAGGAGACGGGCCATACTTTCGTCTTTTCGCCAGTTTCTTTTGTTTCCTCGTGCTGGTATTACATGATATGCTGGAGTAAGCTCCAAGGAGATAATGCACGTTGAATAAATTTTTTTTTCAATGGATCATCGTGAAATGATTCGAGTTTTGCTCTGTAAGGTTGTAAAAGAATGAAATGACATTTTTTTTGTGAAAAAATTTATTAGAAATTTATTGAATGGATTCCTTACATTTTTAATAATATGCGTATTAGTTATAGAAATGCTTTAAAAGGAGTTAATACAAACTGATATTACTTTTTTTTACCGAACGCTAACAAAGTGGCATCCAATATAAATGTAACTATTTCAACGAATAAGTCTGAATTTTGGGAAAAAAATTCTTTGCACTTGGCATTTTGCAAGACAATTCTATGATTGTAGCGAATAAATTTAATTGCCTGTAATTTTAAAGAGTTTAATTTGTATTTATCGGAAAATCCCAAAATATACGGTAGATTCTCTAAACTTATACTACTGCCCAAGTATTCAACATAATCTTGATTTTCAGACCAAACTGCTTCATTTGCATCAATAAAGGTACTGGCTGCTTTTCTTAAATCATCCAAATTATACTGGATTACATCAGTTAATGCTAAAGTTGACACTACATTATTTTCATTTATATTATACTCCAAGTACATCGCACACAAATGCTGTAATTCTGATAATTGCAAATAATGAGCTAATCTAAATAGACTGTGCGGATCTTTTTCTACATTACAAGCGCCAGTATAGATGAATGATAATAACTCCTTTACAACAACGGAGTCCCAATTATCAAGTTTTATTTCATTTGTTTTCTTTTCGAGCATATCAGTATTGATCATTTTGTTGAATACAGTACTTCGAACCGAAAGAATACATTTGTGCACATAAAAAACATTGTCCTTGGCTACAAGCTTTAAATCATAATTTACTTGATTCATCAAATCCATTATATTCATAAGTAATGTGCTTTTAGTGTTATATTTATCACAATACAATTTAATGTATACTTTTATAGTACTGTTAGATCCAAAACTAATAGAAGGAATTAGTAAACTTTTAGACTTGAATGTTTTGTTATTGCCTTTAGATCTATCAAGTTGAAACAAATAACCATTTTCTCTGGTTTCCTCGTAAAACAGTGTCAGCTCAAAACTTGTGATATTGAAATTTGAAAAAGATTCAGCAAATTTGATTTCAAAGGATGAATTACTCACGTAATTAGAATGTATAGAATTTGTACAGCTGATTCCTAAAGTGCACTGGGTTTTTAGGGAATCAACTGAAAACATTTCTGAAATTTGACTCCATGTGTTGCTACTATTTTTGGTCAATTCCCAGCTAAACTCTACAGATGATTCACCATTGTAGTCTAGTTCAGTTATAGCACTCATGGTGTTCTGTATCAATAAAACAAAAATAACAATTTTCATTAGCGAATATATCAGTTTTGGCATCATCATAACAATCTTTTTAAGATGGCAAGATACAAATTTTGTCATTAAATGTTACATAAAATATTTCGTTTCAGTGTATTACACCATGGTAAAAGTAAACAGA